AAGAACCTCACAAACCTTACCCAGGAATGGTGAACCCTGAATACAAAAATACCGAAAGGTACACTTGGGGATTCGCTTCACCAGTTCAAGGTTTAGTTACTGCATCTAGACATACAACCTTTGATAGTGCTAAGCAATTGATCTATCAATTGACTGAACGGCGTATCCGTCAGGGTTCTATAACCCCACAAACTAAAAGGAACCAAGTTGCGAGTACAAAAAGGAAGTTCCATGACAAGTCAAAGGAGAACTTCAAACATCGCAAACCCAATCCAAAACCTATGGTTGTGTACGCCGTAATCACAAACACTCCCACTCAATCGAAGCCCTACTCTAGGACGTTACCCCACCATACCAAGTGTAATTTTCACCGTGTCGGAAATTGCATGGTCTGTAACATCTATAACTTAAGAGGTCACACCTCTAAGTTTTGCAGAAAGGCCCTGAATAACCACGTCTTTCACGTCAACCTAATACCTATGACCATTGGAAGTTTCGATGTAATCATCGGAATGGATTGGTGAGCAGAGATCTTGTGTTACAAAAAAGCCATCTGACTACTTTTACCCAACAATGAAACTATCGTGATTTATGGAGATAAATCAGGAAAGAATCTAAGAGTCATCTCTTGCATGAAGGCAATGTGTTTATAGAAGAGATGCTCCACTTTCTTAGCCCACGTGGTGGATATGCACGACAAAGGTAAGGAAATCAAAGACATTTTCCAAGTGTGCGGTTACCCAGATGTATTTCCTAGAGTACCTCCAATCAGACAAGTCAAATTCCAAATCAACCTAATCCCGGGTGTAGCACCAGTGACAAGATCTCCTTATCGTCTGGCTCCATCGGAAATGCAAGAACTATCCGGTCAACTCCAAGAACTTCTCGACAAAGACTTTATCTGGTCAAGCTTCTCTCCATGAGGAGCTCCGGTATTGTTGTCAACAAGAAGGATGGATCGTTCAGGACGTGCATCGACTATCGAGAGTTGAACAAACTCTCCATCAAGAACCAATATCCACTCCTGAAGATCGATGACCTGTTCGACCAACTACAATGATCCCGTTACTGCTCAAAGATCAATCTAAGATTCGGATATCATCAAATTAGAGTCCATGAAGCATAAATTCCAAAGAAGACATCCAGGACTCGGTACGGTCACTACAAGTTTCTGTTTATGCCATTCAAACTGACCAATGAGACCAAACAAAGTACGCCAATTCCTAGGGCTTGCAGGCTATTAGCGGAGATTCATCGAGAACTTCTCCAAGATAGTTGAGCCCCTCACCACTCTAAACCAGAAGGACATAAAATTCGATTAGGGAGATAGACAAGAGTATGCCTTCCAAAAATTGAAACAAATGTTGTGCAGTGCACCAATTTTGTCTCTCCAGAAGGAACAGAAGACTTTGTAGTAATCTGCAATGCCGTTCACCAAGGGTTAGGATGTGTGCCGATGCAAATGAATAAAGTCATTACATATGCATCCAGATAACTCAAGCCAAAAAAGACCAACTACATTACCCACGACATAGAGTTGGGAGTTGTAGTGTTTATCTCAAAGATTTAGAAACACTGCCTCTACGGAACGAAGTGTGTCGTGTTCACCAACCACTAAAGCCTCCAACGCATATTCGATTAGAAAGAGCTCATTATGAGACCCCGAAGGATTGTTGAATTTCTAAATGATTTTGAATACGAAATTCATTATCATCATGGTAAAGCAAATGTCATGGCAGATGCTTTAAGAAGGAAAGAATGAGCAAAGCTCTTCGTGTAATAGCTCTAACACTAACCACCCACTCCAATCTCACCACCCAAATTCGAGATGTTCAACCAGAAGTACTCAAAACCAAGGATATCGTCGAAGAAAAACCTTTGAGGAATGGACAAACGGTTCGACCTCAAGGAATACGGAACACGATATTTCATGAACCGAATTTGGACCCCAAAGTTTGGTGAAGTCAGGAGTCTAGTTTTAGACGAAACTCTCAATTCAAGGTATTCAATACATCTCGGATTAAATAAGGTGTATCTCGATCTCAAGAAGTTATATTGGTGGCCCAACCTAAAGGCATATATTTCCACCTATGTCAGTAAATGCTTGACTTACTCCAAAGTCAAATCAGAGTACCAGGAGTCGTCTGGTCTAATACAACAACCGTCAGTCCCGGAGTGGAAATAAGAATAGATGACCATGGACTTTATAATGAAGCTGCCAAGAACTTTAAACGGTTATGACACCATTTGGTTACTGACTGACCATTTAACCAAGTCTACCCCTTTCCTTAACCATCAAAGAATCTGACAAGATGGAGAAACCTACCAGGAACTATCTCAAAGAGATAGTCAAACTGCGTTATGTGCCAATAACTATTATCTCGGACCGAGATAGCAGATTCACTTCCAAATTTTGGCAATCACTGTAAAGGTTCCTATGAACCAAACTCGATATGAATACAACATACCATCCTCAAACATATGGACATAGAAAAAGAACAATATAAACTCTAGGAGACATGCTCCGCGCTTGTGCGACAGACGTCGGTAATGCAAAGGATACTCACTCACCACTAGTTGAGTTCTCATATAGTAATAGTTATCATCCTAGCATAAAGGCCGCTCCATTTGAGTCCTTGTATAGACAAAAGTGTTGTTCTCCAATATGTTGTGCAGAAGTTAGAGATACCTAGTTAGCCTAAACGCATGTTGTACATACTCTACTCACTAGACCTGAGATTATTCATGAAACAACATAGAAGATAGTTCATGTAAAGGAACGAATAAAGACAACACGTAGTCGTCAGAAAAACTACACTGACGCAAGACGCAAACCCTTAAAAATTCAAAGTAAAAGACCGTGTCCTACTAAAGGTCACAATATAGAAATGTGTCATTAGATTTTGAAAACAATGTAAACTAAAACCCTATTACATCAGACCTCTTGAAATCATTGCAAGGGTTGGTCTGGTGGCCTACAAACTCAAGTTACCTCAAGAACTCGACAAAGATCACGACACCTCCCACGTATATAATATCAAAAGTGTCTCTCTAATCAAACTGTTGTCATTCCTCTCGATGAAATCCAGGTCAACACCAGACTATACTTCGTGCAGGAACCGGTAGAGATCATGGATCGAGAAATCAAAAGATTCAAACAAAGCCTCGTACCTATAGTAGAGGTCCAAAAGAACTCTCGTAGAGAGCCGGAGTTTACATGGAAACGTAAGGATCAAACCAAACAAAAGTATCCACAATTTTTTAGCGGTGCTCCCTCCACTACTGGAATGAAATACTAGTAGAACAAAATGATAATGGAACAAAATATTCTAGAACAAAATAATTTCAGGACGAAATTCCTTTAACGGGGAGGTAATGTGACATCCCGGAATTTAGGTCAAAGACTGTGAACGGCCAAGTTCATAGTAAGTCTCTTGAAAATTTGACTCATTGAGTTTTAGTGAATCTAATATAAATCAATGAGTTATTACAACAATTATAAGGTATCAAATGGTATCTTACTTCCAAATATGTAATCTGACAAACAGATCAAACAGCTCAAACTACAACCTTAGTTAACGCGACTGAAAAACTGAAATTTTGTATTAAGCAGTTTTGAGCAATACAAACACTCTAGTCTCGTAGTACATGTTTCCCTGATTCCGAAAATATAAAGAACTTCCAAAACGGAGTTCGTATGTAAAAGATTCGACCGATTTAAGAATCCAAAACCAATGTAATACTGATTTTCTTAAAATCACTAAAATTGTTTTTATCCGTTGAGAGTCTTGCACCCCTCACATGGGAATTCCGAAAGCATTTTTGAATTCAGACTATAACGTTATATTCAATTTTATGTTTGAAATATTTTTAGTAAAAATATGTATATAGAGTGAAAAATCAGACGTTTTCAGGTTTATTATTCACGAAACTTTAAATAGATTTTGCCGGAGTTCTACTTATCGGATTTAATATTCGTCTGACTTTTTAGAAACCTTATAACCAAGATTATCATTTGTCATTTTCAGAAAAATTAATTGATATCCAGATTAAAGGCACACGAATCAAGGAAGTTAGAAAATATCATCATTTTAGATATTCAAATATAACATTATACTTTTGGCACTTTGAGTCAAGCATAATAGAATTTAAACATTCAACAATATTACTATAACATCTAACTTGCATTTTCTACCACATCACTCAATACATATACAAATACATGTTAATACACACACAAATACATCTATTTAATCTACCAAATACAAACAAATTAATTAATTAATTAATAAATACAAAAAAAGTAAATAAATAAATAAATAATCTTGCATATCACAATTACAGATTTCTTGCATAGTTCCTTCAATCCAATTTATCACTCTTTCCCTTCCTCACACTCTAGTCTCAACCCCGAACTCTTACTTTTCTCTAGATCCGTACTCAATGATTTAACAGATACTAAGGTGTTGTTTGTTTTTTTGAAGCAAAAATCCATAAAATCTGCGGACCACCTCTGCAACCCTCTGCAGTAGAAGAGGTGGACCAAACGGCTGCAGACTGTAATAAGAAGTGTGTTTGTTTTTTTAACATCTGCATGTTGGTGCAAATATTAAAAAATTAAAATAAACTGATTTTATAATCCGAAAATAGTTTTTTAATACCGAAAATATAATAATATATGACATTTTGGGAAGAATTTATGATATTTCAGCAAAAAATAATGATATTTTAACAAAAAATAATGATATTTTAGCATAAAATAATGATATTTCATCAACAATTTATTATTATTCAATATAAAAAAAAGAAAAAAATTCAACAAGAATAAAAAAAAAGGAAAAAAATGTGAGATAAGATTTTAACAATATATAATCAACAGACTAAATTACACGAATTGTCCTTTAAGTTTTTATTGTTTCCCTGAAATAGTCCTTACGAAAGGTTTTTCCCTCATATGGTACCTACAGACCTAACCTTAAACGTAAACGGTCATTGGTTGGATGTCGTCTAAAACAACGTTAACATGCCCCCATGTGCCTTGCACATGAGGGTATTTTAGTCATTCCACCTAAATTAGGGCCCCACCTCTCTCTCTCCTAGACCCCACATCATCTTCTTCCCCTTTCTAATTTCCATACCGTTCTTACATCGCCGGACTTCTCACCAGTTGCCCCAACTACAAAGCTGTCGACCCCAACGGAGAAATCTTAAATGCCGAAAAGGCCTTCAGTCTAGCTGGTGTCGATGGTGGGTTCTTTGAGCTTCAACCGAAAGAAGGTCTAGCATTTGTTAATGGCACAACCGTGGGATCTGGCATTGCCTCCATGGTTCAATTTAAAGCCAACGCTCTTTCTTTGTTGTCAGAAGTTATGTCCGCCATTTTCGCAGATGTTATGCAAGGGAAGCTGGAGTTCACAGACCACTTGAGACACAAATTAAAGCATCACCCAGACCAAATTGAAGTTGCAGCAATAACGGAGTACGTTTTGGATGGATCTGGTTACGTTAAAGCTGCATAGAAGGTCCATGAAATGGACCCTTTACAGAAACCTAAACAAGATCAGTATGTTTTGAGAACATCGCCTCAATGGCTCGGCCTACAAATCGAGGTCATCCGATCATCAATTAAAATGATCCAAAGAGAAATCAACTCTGTTAACGAAAACCCTCTGATCGATGTTTCCTGAAACAAGGCCTTACATGATGGTAACTTCCAAGGAAACCCAATCGGAGTTTCCATGGACAACACTCGTTTGGTCATTGCTGCGATAGGGAGACTCATGTTTTCCCAATTCTCAGAGCTTGTAAATGACTTCTACAACAACGGAATACCCTCCAATCTCTCCAGTGGTCGGAATCCAAGTTTGGATTACGGGTTCAAAGGTGCTGAAATTGCAATGGCTTCGTATTGCTCGAAGCTCCAGTTTATTGCCAACCCTGTAACTAACCATGTCCACAGCATTGAACAACACAACCAAGACGTAAACTCTCTAGGGTTAATTTCTTCCTGGAAAACTTCTGAAGTTGTTGATATTTGGAGGAGAATCTGTAAGCCATATTGAAGAACAACGTGAAGGAAGAACTTGGAACAGGGTATTTGACAGGGGAGAAGGTTACTTCACCAGGATAAGAGCTTGATAAGGTGTTTACAGTGGTATGCAAAGGGCTAGTGATTGATCCATTGTTGGAGTGTCTTGAAAGTTGGAATGGTTTTCCTCTTCCAATTTGTTAACTTATGTTTGACATCTTTATATTATATGTATATGTTTTTTTGGAAAGTGATTGACTATATTCCATGAATAACAGTGATTAGATGAGGTTCTTACGGCAAAGAAATAGTTTCTCATATAGAATCTAAATGGGTTTTGGGGCATAAGAAATCAAGGGAAACCTAGCTTTAGAATGACGTAAGCAATGACATAAGAAGCCATTATTAAAGAAGACATATTATTGAAGACATGTGGCCTTTCAATATGGAAAGGAATTTGTAATTATTTATGGTTTTGTCTTTTATA